AGGAGAGCTTGGCACGTGCAGGGCCCTTGAGGACCGAAGTGGATTCCACACCTCACTTCTGCTCATGTCCCAGAATTTAGAGACAAGGTCACACCCGGCCTCACGGGAGGCTGGAAAGTGTGGTCTCTAGCTGGACAGCTCTGTATCCAGCTGAAACTATCAGTGGAGTAAGAGGGGAGGCTTTTTTTTTTGAGGGGATGGCTAGGAATCTGTCCTGAAGTGGGAAGAATTGTTCCTTGAGCCCTCCACCCGCGTTCCTCTTCGCTCCCTTCTCTGACGCTTGATACCTTCTCGCTTTAGTTGCCATCTACCTTGGGATCAAACGGAAACCGCCCCCCGGCTGCTCCGATTCCCCTGGAGTGTGAAGCTGACCAGCTCTCGCCCTCCCGAGGCCCTGATGGCAGCTCTGCGCCAGGCCACAGCAGCCGCCCGCTGCCGCTGCCGCCAGCCACAGCCGTTCCTGCTGGCCTGCCTGCACGGGGGTGCGGGCGGGCCCGAGCCCCTGTCCCACTTCGAAGTGGAGGTCTGCCAGCTGCCCCGGCCAGGCTTGCGGGGAGTTCTCTTCCGCCGTGTGGCGGGCACCGCCCTGGCCTTCCGCACCCTCGTCACCCGCATCTCCAACGACCTCGAGCTCTGAGCCACCACGGCCCCAGGCCCCTTCCTCTTCCTCTCCCTTGTCCCCTATGCTTCTACAAGAGAGGAAGGGGCCAGGGAGGGGATTCTCCCTTTGTCATCACCTCAGTTTCCCTGAATTAGATTTGGGGGCAAAGATTGTCCCCTCTGCTGTTCTCTGGGGCCGCTCAGCACAGAAGAAGGATGGGGGGCTCAGCGGGGGGAGCTGGCACCTTCCTGGAGCCTCCAGCCAGTCCTGTCCCCCCTCGCCCTGCCAAGGGGGCACCTGAGGAGACTTTGGGGGCAGGGCAGGGGCAGGGAGGGCAACTGAGGAAACCTTTCATTCCCCCCAACAGCTCAAAATTAGGCCTTGGGCAGGGACAGGGAGAGCTGCTGAGCCTAAAGACAAGAATTTGGGGGACTGGGAGTGGGGGTCAGAGAGGCAGTTTCCTTCCCCTCCCCTCCCCTCACACTCAAACCCCCCACCTTTCCTGCCCCAGGCTGGCGCGGGGCACTTTGTACAAATCCTTGTAAATACCCACCCCCTCCCCTCTGCAAAGGTCTCTTGAGGAGCTGCCGCTGTCACCTACGGTTTTTAAGTTATTACGCCCTGACCCTCCTCCTGTCAGCCCCCTCACCTGCAGCCTGTTGCCCAATAAATTTAGGAGAGTCCCCCCCAGTGCTGACCCTAGGGTTTTCCTTCCCTGCCCTCACCAGCAAGTGAGTTGCAGAAGAGGCATGGGACTCCGGGCAGTGGTTTTTCCTTTTAGAGCCTCGGTTTTCTCATCTGCAGAATGGGAGCGGTGGGGGTGGAAAGGTAAGGATGGTCGTGGAAGAAGGCAGGACAGAACTCAGCCTCATCCCCGAGGCCCCAGTTCCTATATCGGGCCCCCCATTCATCCACTCAGCACTCCCAGCCACCATGTTACACTGGACTTTTAAGCCACTTCTTACTCCGGTAGTAAATTTATTCAATAAACAATCATTGACCTGTGCCTACTCCATGCCAGGCCCAGTGCTGGACACGGAGGCATGAAGCCCTGTCTGTGGGACACATGGGTTCTGACACATACACTAGACAAACCATTGTCTTGGGAGCCCAGAAGGGAAAGTGGGCGGGATACAGTCATTGCAGAAGTTGTTCTAGAGGAATTAATGCTGGACTGGGGTGTTGAAGGTTGAGTAGGAGTTGGCTAGGCATGGAGTATGGCCTGGGCAAAAGCCCAGAAGTGGGAGTGTGTGGCATGTCTTCAGAGAGCTGTAGGTGGTTTCAGTGTGGCTGCTATGTTGGGCATGGATGCAAAGTTAGCAAGAGAAATGTTGTATTAGGACTAATAATCCGTCTATACTGCTTAAGCAAACAGGTGTTTGTGGGCTTATGTTACTTAATAATCCAGGGAACTCAACTTCAGGTATGGTTTGATCCAGGCATCAGGGCATTGTATCTTTTTTTTTTTTTTTTTCAGTGTAAATTGAATTCTAGTAGTTTTTATCAAGTAAGTTCTTTCCTGATGGCTCAGATGACCTCAGCAGTTAGAAGTGTCTATCCCTCCAGCTTACTGCAGCAGAAAGATCTTCATTGTCGGTTTCCCAGCAAAAGTCCCAAGGCAGACTCTCATTGGCTCAACTGGGCCATGTGATTATCTCTGAACCAATCACTGTGACTACAGTGACCAGACTCAGAGCTGCACTTTGTGGGGGTTTCTCAAAGGAAGGTCAGGTGTCTTGAGCAGGCGAAAAGGCCTGGGAGCTGAACAGATTTAAGTGGTTCAGAACTGTGCAGTATGGAAGGGTGGGACTTATTCACACAGAACCTTTGGGGCCAAAATGAATAAGCTGGACTTTCTCCCGAGGCACTGGGGAGCCATGGAAGTTCAGGGAGCTTCAGGAAGGAGACTTAGTCAATCCCTGACAGCATCTTTTGTGCTGGGGACACAGTGGCAATCAGGACAGCCCCAACACTGCCGTCATAGAGCTCACGGTCCAATAGAGGAGGCAGATGTATCCTCAGGCACTGACTGGGCAGGGCTGGCATAGGGGAGTCCAGAGGCGATGCCTGCCTCAGCCAGGGAGGGCTTCCTGGAGTAAAAGGAGCCAGCTAGCCATGGGTAGGAGTGCATTCTAGGCAGAGCAAATGGCACATATAAGGGCCGGGGGAGCAAGAGAAAGGACAAGTCCTTCGGCAAATGGCATGTGACAGCAATGCTAAGTGTAGAGTCGCTGTGAGAGATGGGGCTGGGGCGTCAGCAGGGCCTTGAAGGTTATGGACAGGGGCCTGGGCTTTCTTCCACGGGCACTGGGGGAGCCATGACAAGGCCATGGCCAGGGGAGAGATTTAGGGTGGTTTGTGCTGCTTGCAGGGTGGAAGGAAGGAAACGTGAGGTCAGAAGAGCAGGAAAGAGGTTGGGGCTGGACAGATGGGGGAAGCAAGAATAGAGTTGAGAGTTACAGGAGGCCAAGTGGGCAGGACGTGGTAACTGACGGGTGTCTGGACTGCGGCTCCGGCTGGCTCAGATGGTCCCCACTGGGGTGTCAGTGGTCTGTGTAACTCGCGGATGTGGAGCTGGGATCTTCAACTGGGGACAGCACAGTAAAGAACATTCCAGCATCTCACAGGTTCTGCATGCCTTGATCTTTGGGGTCTCTTCTAACCTTCCTTTTAGTAATCTCCCTGGGAACTCCTGGGGACATCCCTAGGCCTCAGTTTCCCCGCTGTAAAACAGAGGGCAGATATATTCAACTGTAAGGGCCCTTAACTTCTGTGACTTGGGGTTTGAAAAGCACCTCTTCTAGATTCCTGAAGGCTCTGTCAGGCCTTCCATTTACTCCTGCCTCACTTTTCCTACCCCACCCCCACCCCCAAAACCTTTGTCCTTGTCAACGGAGATCTTAACCTGTTTCGCTGGGTGGGGGTGATTGATGTGCCCAACACCCAATGCGTGATCAGATACTGCTTAACTTCTGTTAACTCTTCTCCCTCTCGCAATCGCTCTATCACGCCTCCTTCCTGTCCCTTCCTGGGACTGGGCTCCCCAAAAGTCCCTACTTCATGGGGATGATCAGAATCAAGTTCCAGATTGGAGGGGGAAGCAGCTCGGTCAAAGACACTGAGGTGAGAATTGGAGGGTGTAAGATGTGAGTCAGAGGAATCATGGGGAAAGAACTGCAAAGATGCAAATGGTCTGCATTTCAGTGTGGCTTTGAGTTGCAAATAACAGAAAGGCGTTCTAGGAGAAATGGGGAGCCATGGCAGGTTCTTGAGCAAAGTAAGTGATGTTCGGCTTGGCACAGTGGCTCACGTCTGTAATCCCAACACTTTGGGAGGCTGAGGCGGGTGTATCACGCTGTCAGGAGTTTAAGACCACCCTGGCCAATATGGTGAAACCCCGTCTCTATTAAAAATACAAAAATTAGCTGGGTGTGGTGGCACACGCCTGTAGTCCCAGTTACTCGGGAGGCTGAGGTGGAAGAATCGCTTGAACCCGGGAGCAGAGGTTGCAGTGACCCAAGACTGCGCCACTGCACTCCAGCCTGGGTGACAGAGCGAGACTCCATCTCTAAATTAATTAATTAATAAGGGGTGTTCAAAAGACTGGCAGCAGCTACAGAGGGATGAAGTCAGACTGGATAGAAGGAGACCAGTGAGAACCAGGATAGAGGTATATGTGATGAGCTGCATGGGAGGTCTCAAGCTGGAGACCCCCTGACTAAATTTAAGCCTCAGACATTCCATTGGGCTGCATTCCTCCCCAGCGTGGACCTTGGGATTGAGATCTGAGCATGGCTAATTCAAAGCTACAGTTGGAAAGGGCCCATGATTTGGGAGAGTGACACTGGGCTCAGTGCCTCTCGGGGTCTCAGATCCATAGAGCCTTCTGATCTCTCTTTTTTTTTTTCTTTTCTTTTCTTTTCTTCTTCTTCTTCTTCTTCTTTTTTTTTTTTTTTTTTGAAACAGAGTTTTGCTCTTATTGCCCTGGCTCGAGCGCAATGGCATGATCTCAGCTCACCGCAACCTCCGCCTCCCGGGTTCAAGCGATTCTCCTGCCTCAGCCTCCCAAATAGCTTGGATTACAGGCGCCTGCCACCATGCCTGGCTAATTTTTGTATTTTTAGTAGAGACAGGGTTTCTCCAAGTTGGTCAAGTTGGTCTTGAACTCCCGACCTAAGGTGATCCGCCCGCCTCGGCCTCCCAAAGTGCTAGGATTACAGGCGTGAGCCACCACGCCTGGCCAAGCCTTCTAATTTTTGGACTAGATTCTGTGCCCTAACTTTGCCTCATTTTAGACCTGGGATAAGACACGTTTAGTACATGCCTAGACAGGACAAACCACTCCGAGGCCACACAATGGCCAGTTACACCACCTCCCTCAATAACTATCGCACAAAGCTAAGGCCACCATTGCTTTTATTTATTGCTTTGCGTGGAGACAAAGTACGAGCTCCGGATGTGCTGGGAGCGCTCCATTAATTAGAGCTCCTTTTGGGGGCGGAGCTCTAGGAAAAGAAGACGACCCTGCCAGGGAGATTTTTCATTGGCCAGAACCCAGAGGATGGAGGCCATTGGTTGGAACTCTGGTTGAAACTGGAAGTCTGAGAAGGGTGGAGAGAGCCCCTAGAAGGCAGAACCATCACAGGGTGGGATTCCAGGAAAGGGGGCGGGGCAAGGAGTGAGGGGGCGGGCCTCCGGTGGGCCAGGCCCTCCCATTGGCTGGGTTCCAGCAGTCGGTGGCGGGTGGGCAGGGCGCCTACTTCTGGGCGGGGATCATGTCGTCGATGGACTGGCCTTTCTCCAGCTTCTTCTCCATCTCCACCATGAGCTTCACACCATCCACCACCAGCTGCACCTGTTCTACTTCGGACGAGCCCAGCCGATCAGCGTTGGACACGTCGAATACTGAGCCCACGGCAGCTGTGTCCACGCCACCTGTGGGAGCAAGGGACAGGGGCATGAGGAGACAGCAAAGGTTGCAGAGGGACTGGGATGTGGTGGTCCCCGTGCCAAATGCAACAGCTGCATGTGTTGAGTGGCTACTGTGTAACAGGTTACCTGCACACAGGTAATGCCTGTCTAGTCGTGGGCTTACGAGTCTCTGTATTTAGATAAGGTAACACACCACTCAATTATCCAACATGAAAATATAGTGTAGTGGGTAAGAGAGTGGGTTCCAGAGCCAGGCGGCCTGGGATCGAATCCTGACCCCTCCTCGCGTTATAAATGGGGAAACTGAGGCCTCGAGAGGTGCAAGGCATATGCAATGCATATTATATAATCATGAAAATCCCTCATTGACTCCTAGGACATGGGCGTGTTGATGCCCATTTTACGAGGAAGAAATGCAGGCTCACAGACGGTCAGCCCTTGCCGGGTACCCAGAACTCATGGGGCTATCCAGCCTCCCTTTCCACTCCCGCAAAGGGCCCGCCCCACCCGTCGTGGTGCGGGAATGTGGGAACCGCACCTGTGCCCCTCTTCTGCAGGCGCAGGCGGGTGAGGATCTCCTCGAACTTGGGATGCTTGCTCAGGTGCGCCAGCTTCACATGCACGCCTCCACGCAGCCCGGTGCCCAGGTTGGATGGGCAGGTGAGCACGTAGCCCAGGTGCTGGTTCCACATGAAGGGGTGGCCGGCTTTCTTAAAGATCTCCTCGATCTGAGGTTGGGGGAGAGGACCAGGGATCAGCGCCAGCACGCACCTCCAAATGCACCCGCCACATGGACAGGGTCCGGACACGCGTGGGAACGTGGATGGAGATGGGATTCGGAGGGAACCAGGACGTAGGAAATTCCGAGGATACTGGCTAGACAATAGTGACTAAGGCAAGATTTTGAGGAGGCAGGGACTAAGAACGATTTAAAGGCGGGTTTCTTTCTTTTTTTTTTTTTTTTTTTTGACAGTCTCGCTGTGTCACCCAGGGTGGAGTGCAATGGCGTGATCTCGTCTCACTGCAACCTCCGCTTCCCAGGTTCAGGTGATTCTCCTGCTTCAGCCTCCCGAGTAGCTGGGACTGCAGGCGCCTCGTCACCACGCCTGGCTTTTTTTTTTTTTCTGTATTTTTAGTAGAGACAGGGTTTTACCATGTTGGCCAGGTTGATCTTGAACTCCTGACATCAAGTGATCTCCCCTCCTCGGTCTACCAAAGTGCTGGGATTACAGGCGTGAGCTTCCGCTCCTGGTCCGAAGGCGGGTCCTTTAGGGCGGGGCTTGGGCGTAGGGAGGTGCTGGGTCCAGGGGCGGGGCCCGGAAAGTAGGTGGGGCTTGTTTTGAGGGGCGGGGCTTGATATGGGGGTGGAGCCAGGTCCGGGGAGGGGCAGGGCCCTGGAAAGTGGGTGGGGCAGGGCTTCGTATAGGCAAGGGGCGGGGCCTCGGAGTGGGGCGTTCCAGGTGGAGTCAGAAGTCTGCAGCAAAGAGTGGACACCCACCTTCTGCAGCCCCACGCAGAAGCGGCGGAAAACCTCCTTCATATTGCCCCCCTTCTCCATGGAGATGACTCGGAGGTGATCCTCCTCGTTCACCCACACCAGGAAGCTCTTGTTGTCATTGTGCCTAGAGTGAGGTGCCGCAGCAAGAGGCCAAGGTGTCAGCTCCGCGGGAACCCATTCCCACCCCTCCCCCAGACTTCGGCCCACCGTCCGGGGGACGCGGGCCTGAGGGTTGGGAGGTGGGTGGCATCTGCCTCCTCCAAACGTAGAAGCTTAAACCTGTAGACTCTAACGTCACAGGACCTGCAAAACCTTGAATCCTGTGATCAGGGGCTTTTAGGGGCTTAAATCTTTGAACAGCATTGTTATAGATCCTTGGGATCTCAGGAAGTTTGACAAACAGAAGCTTGGAATCAGAATTGATAACATCTTGGAAATCCTGATGTAGGATTTCCCATCGCACTGTGTTAGCTCCCAATCCTAGCATCTCGGAAGCGGGATCTTAGAACATAAAATATTAAGATCAGGAAATGGTTGGGTGCGGTGGCTCATGCCTGTAATCCCAGCACTTTGGGAGGCCGAGGCCGGAGGATCACCTGAGCCCAGGAGTTCAAGGCCAGCCTGGGTGACATGGCAAGACCCCCATATCTACAAAATTAAAAAATTAGTGGACGTGGTGGCACACGCGCCTGTAGTCCAAGCCACTTGGGAGGCTAAGGTGGAGGATCACTTGGCCTTGGAAGGTCCAGGCTGCTCTGAGGTATGATCTCACCACTGTGCTCCAGCCTAGGCAACAGAGCAAGACTCTGTCTCAAAAAAAAATCTGAGAGTGGGCACTGTGGCTCACACCTGTAATCCCAC